GCTGCACAATGGGGTATTTTCAGTAGGTGATATCCATGCTGAAGAACTAATGCCACCATTTTAAACTACCTTACTTAGTCTTTGATCCATGGATAACCAAGAGAGAAGGCACTGTGTTTCTTGCTACCTTGTCTTGGGTTATAAAATGGATGTAACACTTAACATTAAAAATGTTTGTGTGTTTGTGTGTGGATGGCTGTGTGTGGGGGGGGTGGCAGTCAGCTATTAATTGGATATTAAGTTCAGCCTTCAAGACAGGCAGTTTCTGAGAATAAGTTATTCTCATGTTCTGCCAATACATTGACTGTCAGTCTGAAATGGAATTAAGACTACCTTCATTGAATATTTCATAGTTCAAAAAAATTGGAGGCAGAAAGAGCTTTATAAAACAGAAGTTATATTTTAATCATATCAGTCAATAAATACAATTTAAAAAGTTAAATCTAAGTTTTTACCAGAGTTTATTAAAAATACTATCCACCTACTTTATTACACATTTTTGCTTTACAGGATTTCTAATAAAACTGATCCTGATGATCATTGACTCACCTTGGATGAGGCCAACTATAAATATTATGACAAGGTAAAGTGTTTTTTGTGAAATTAATTTTTTTGCTCTTAATTTTTGGTTTTGAGGTGTTAAAACTTAGCAATGGTTTCCTGATCTATTTTATGAAAATTTGCTCAGACAAAACCATTTTAAGAGAATTATGTTGATATTTTTTATCTTGTACAAATGCCAATGTTCCCATGAGGAGTTTAGTTTGGTGGGGGATGGAAGAAACATTGTACTGGTAAATACATATTGATATAAAAATTGGATCATGAATAAATTTCTTATTGCAGAAGCAATAGGAAATTTCATCAAGAATTTTTGTTAGATTTACATTAGTGAGACTTTTAAATCATACTTACATGATTTATAATACTCTGCCCAAATTAGTTTTTGTAGAATAATGAAATTTCCCTCATGCCTTTAATTTGAAATAAATAAGGCACATTAGATAGAGTTTTTTATTAGACCCTTTATATTTTACTCAATATATTTCTAGGAGAATTTTTTTATTATTTCTATCCTTGGTTCCATGTTTACACTAAAGTAACATTAGAAATTATGGAAACATACAAATTTAGAATAGGTATATTAATGTTTAGATTAGGGGCTGCAGTTGTAGCTCAGTGGTATAGTACTTGCCTA